CATTTATCTTTTTTTATTTTTTTTATTTAAATCAGCCATAATAGAAATGGATGCCAAGCGAGCACCGCAGGACAAGCTAGCCTGTGTGTCAAAGTGCAGTCAGCACATTTTTGAAGCGCTGTCCACCTCCAACAACGAGCCTGCTAACGCGGATGACTTCCTGACGAGCCTGGTGTACGTGGTGCTGAAAGCCAATCCGCCTCGCCTCCACTCCAACATGCAGTACATGATTCGTTTTGGCCTCCCTCACAGCCTCATGGCTGGAGAGAGCGGCTACTATTTCACAAACTTGGTAAGTTGTGTACGAAAGCGCTCGTCCTTCATACGCCGCAGAGTTGGGGAGATAACCCAAGCTTGTCTTTGTCCCCTGCTTCAGTCCTGTGCGGTGGCTTTCATTGAGAAACTGGACGGACCGGCTCTCAACCTCAGTCCTGAGCAGTTTGACGGCTACATGCGAGGCCAGCGCGCTCCTGCTGCGTTAAGGAGGCAGCAGAAGGCCAATGCCACTCAGAAGCTGCTGGAAGAGCTACAAGGAAGGCAGGAGAAGCTGCACCAAGGTGTGGATGCTCTGAACATGCAGCTGCAGAAATGGGTCCAAGTAGTTAATTCCCAGCTGGATGAGGCAACGAGCCAGTTTGATAAGGTACAGAAGGAGATAACATCTCAGGCGGAGGCCTCTGAGGTCGTGACCTCTTCAGCTGAGGATGGATTCCAACAGAGGGAGGAGGAGGAACAGCAGCCTGAGAGCGAAGCTGTAAAAGAAACGATCTGATAGCCCACCAGAGGCATCAGAACCCCCCCTGGCGTGGTACCTCATGGTCAGCACTAACAGACGAACGCTGCTGGACAAACGAGACCTACATTCCACTGACAGATTTGCACAAGTTTCCAAACAGAGACGTGACTCATGAGCTGAAGAAATGAGGATGAAGGAAAACATGAAGGAAACTTGGGGCGCATTTGTTTTGAGGCGTCTGAAGGGCCTAATTATCTTTATCAAGTTATTTTAACTTTAATGAAGTCATTAAAACACATTCCAGCTTAGTTTAAAAATACGTGTTAACACACAGGCACTTCTAACACAACACTCAGAGGTGCTGAGCACAAAATATTTTCCCTCATGTCGTACACCGCGATGACTTTATGGTGATAGGTCAAAATGTGAACTAGTATCAACCACTAGAAGTTTACAAGGGGATGTTTGTGGCAAAGGTTTCTCAGAGCTGTCTAACTTATAAAATGTTTTTCTTTGCAATTTTATGTAACACATTTCCATATGTGATGGTGTACAAAAGATGTTTACAGTTGCTGATTTATGAAGAAAATTAAAGTTATATTTTGTTCAATAATTGAATCAAATTATAGATTAAAGCAATTTGATTTATAGATTATGCGTGACTGATTTTAAATTTTACCCTGATTTGACATGTTTTGCTGTTATAAAATTTAAGTTGAGACTAGCTGCAGAGCAGACCACTGATGTGAGTTAGATACTTCAGTTTTATGGACAAGATCCAGGTTTAAATTTATTGAGAAGAGGAAATGATGACAAACATGAAGAGAAAAGGGAAACCATATTTGGATAAATCTAAATACTTTGTAAGAGGCCATGTGGCAAAGAGGAATTAAATTTGAAATGGGTGTTTGAACAAAACACCACCATACAAAACAGAAAGTAAGCATGATTTTATTTCATACCAACAAGATTGATGTTATGGAGTAGCCAGACCTATTCCTGAAGGTACCTTAACTGCAAGAGAAAACTAACCAAAAAAATGCAGAGCAGCTGTGGAATGTAGTTTATGCTTCCTGGGCTGGAACACCTGTACACAGGTGAAAAAGGCTTGTCCACTCTACTGTTATGTAAATGTGAAGTAGTTCTCATGAGCTGTGGTTATGCTAAATATAACATTTTCAGTGATTCCCAGGAAAACTAAATTAAGCTCATTTCAATTTACACAGCAGGAGTTTAAGTTTGTAAAGAAAAATGGAGATATTTTAAATGTCTAATATTAGCTCACTTCCTGTAGAGCACTTGCTACCAAAAAGATTAGAACATCATGACATCTGCTTATCAGATGCAGCAGATCGATCAAAGTCCAGTCTGTTCCAGATGGTGCTGCACTGACAGCTGGAACCTGCTTGGACATGCAAGCATGAAGACAGTCAGTTATATTAAAAGACACACGAACTTTCCCCAAAATTTTATTTTGGCTTATTAAACCACTGAAGAATTGTGTGTCTTATTTACATGAGAGTAATAATGAAAATGTACAAATGTATTATATTTTTTGCTTTCTCTAAGTAAAAGGTTTCATATTTTGGTAGTGTCTACATTTGGACAGTTGGGGTCGCTGCACCGGAAGTAGCGTCATAGAAACGCTTGTAGCCGGAAGAGAGATTGTTTAGCAGCCATGAAGATGACAGGAGAAAACAGAGCTGAGGGCTGTGAAATAACAATGGACGACGTGAAGAACCTTATTAAAAAGAAAGATGAAATTGAAGAGCAGATAAAGGCTTACCACGACGTTTTAGAAGACGTAAGTTGTTCCCACACTCTGAAGTAATCTAGTCCTGCGCTGCGCTGAACTCGTTTCTCTTGTTGTTTACAGCAAGGTGTCGGAGTTGAGGGTCCTCTGGTTGACGCTGAGGGTTATCCCCGAGCAGATGTTAATTTGTACACGATCAGGGACGCGAGGCACAATATATCATGTAAGGATGTGTTTGTCTTTGTGTTTCTCTATAAGCAGTTCCTGGGTGAACTACAGCCACTTCAGTCATCTCACAAGTTTAGTTTACTTTCCATTCAGTCTTTCTGAAGTTGAACTACATTGTGTTGTCGGAAATATTCGCTCCTTTTTCCTCACAAACTTGAATGACATCTCCATGCTTAATCCACATAATAGATACCACCCTTTGCGGTTTTAACAGATTCTTTTTATGAGGTCAAACACTGATGTTGGACAAGAAGGCATGAGTTGCAGTTTCTGCTCTTGAGGTGTGGATTCTGTGCAGACAGTGAAGTTCGTGCACACCAGTCTCTCTCCTCCATATCTTAATGGACCTTGCTTTGTGCATTGGTACCCAGCCTCACACTACAACCCCCTTTGCTCCAAACTTTGCATGTGACATGAAGCAATCAAAAGCAGTGTTATTCTCCTGCAAACAGCCAAACGCAGAGTTGTCTATTGCATTGCCAGACGGAGAGAAATGATTAATCAGTTCAGAGAACAGGTCTCCACTGTTGGAGAGTCTGGTGTCAATGTGCTTTACACAACTCCATCTGACACTTTGCATTGCAGTTGGTGACATAATGCTTGGGTATAGCTTCACAGTCATCCATTAAGCTAATCTGAAGAACATAAAGTTTGAAATTCTGTAGCCACTTTGGAGAGACTTGCTATTGTTTCCGATCACTTCCACTTTCTTATAATACCACTAACAGACAAGACAGACAAGAACATTTAGTAACAAGAACATTTTACAACCAGACTTATTTTATAGGTGACAACATCCCGACAGGCTACCACACAGGAAGTGACTGACAGACCTACATTCAATTATTTGAATGGGTGAATAAATATCTCAGGCATTATTGTGAACTTTACAAAGGCGAGTTAAATCAGACATAGAGGGGCTGGGTATGAATGGCCGCCATTGTTTTCAGACTTTTATTTGTAAAAAAAAAAAAAAACCCTAAAAAAAACATATGTAAAAAAATTATGCATAATTTTCATTCCCCTTAAAGGATAGTATACCGTTTTGTGTTGGCCTATCACATCAAATCACAAAAAGTTTATTGTTCAAACAGTTGGAGAATGTTTGCAAGGCTCTTCAAATAATATAAGTGACCCTCCTGTTTGAAACTCTTTCCCATGTGAAACGTAGCTAGAATACAACAGTTGGTTAGCTGTCAGTTTTTCTGCTTGGCTTTCTCTTTGAAAAGAGAACATTATTATTCTTCACGGCACTTCGACTGCAATGTTTGTTCTTGCACTTAAGCTGTTAGGCTTTTGTTTTGTTTGTGTCTCAGGCCTACAAAATGACCACAAAGCCATCATGGCAGAGATTGAAGAAGCTCTGCACAAGCTCCACGCTAGAGAGAAAGCCAAGCGGGAACGAGACGAGGCAGAAAGCCAGGAGGAGCCGATGGAGGAGCAGGTCACTCTGCCTCCTCCCTTTGCTCGAGTGGATGCCGTCACGTACGGCTCACCTGCTTCTGGAGCTGTGAGGAACATCTTCTCTGCTCTTAAACTTAGTCAAACCTTCAGATAAACCAACATTTATGCTGACATTCATGCTTAATGTTTCAATTTCTTTGAGCCTGATTGTTTGTATTTTCTTACAGGGGCTCAAAGTAGGAGATGAAGTCATCGAGTTTGGCTCTGTAAACACAAACAACTTTCAGAATCTGCAGAACATTGCTGCAGTGGTGCAACACAGTGAAGGAGTAAGTTTAATTTGATTTCGCTTGTTTAAATTGAAAAATAAATTGTTTTTAGTATTATTGATCTTGCAGTTTGCTGTAGCTTAGTAATTCAATTTTCACGTTTTATTTCACTTTACTTTCAAAAACAACGTGAGCTTGATTGCTTTTACCATGATTGTACTTTTTGAACATGCCCATCAGCCGATGTAAACGGCAGCATAATGTTCGTTTTCAGAAACCTTTACGGGTCGCTGTGATAAGAGACGGCCAGAAGGTTCAGATGAGCCTGACTCCACAGCGGTGGTCCGGCAGGGGTCTGCTAGGGTGAGCGCACAAAGCGACACAAAAACTGTCATTCTGTCACATGTAGGCAGCAGAAGAAGTTAGTGAGACTATTTGTTATTAGAATAACTGTTAACATTACAATTATTTATTTATTTTTTTGTTTTTCAGGTGCAACATTGTTCCAGTCCAGCGATAATCCACACAACCTTATTCCAGATTTAAATCCGTGAATCTCCTGAGTGTTTTCTATTCTGTACAGTAGAAGTTTGGATCTATTTTCATTTTCCAGTTTCCTAATGAAAATCTTGAACATTTTCTCCATACAATGACTAAGAGTGGAATATGTCAAAATTAAACTGCTGAACTCATGATTAAGACCTGCATACATTCTTCTGCACACATTTTAAAGAGGCCAGCTTTTGGATTGAAGTTTTTTTTTTCTCTCGGGAGCTTGAAAGAAGATGGTCATGGTTATTAAAGATGGGATGCTTCAGTAATTCTTATCCTGTGTGTACATACAATTACTTTGGTTGAATAAATAGTTTTCTTGAAGAAAACAAGTAAGAAACATTTTGACTTGTATGAAGTGATGAATTTTTGCAATAAATGCATTTTATTCAATCTCATGGGAAAGACTCATAAAAACATATTTAAGATTAAATGATGGTGTGTTAAATGGATAAACTACTACAGTTGTGCTATTATAGCCAAAATATATTATTTTAGAAATACCAGTGACCAGTTTATGCAGAGATGATATATAACTGGTTGTTGTTTGGCGTGATTCCTTGTTGTGTATTAAATTCATATATTACTGTGGATGGAGTTTACATAGCGTATTTTATATTAGTGAAGTTACAGCGAATCAGCTCTTGGTGGATTTTTTTTAAAATTTTCAGTAGTAAATTTGACAAAGCACATAAAGCAGAAGAGACTAAATTCAAAAACGTCATTTCCTTAGTAATGAGACTGAAGAGCTTCTTCTGCAGATTAAATTGTTAAAAATCAATGATAGAAACAAAGCTGTAAAATCCAGAAATGTTCATTGAAACACTCCTTGTGCTGGGTGTGTTGGGTCTTTTATTATGTTTTTTTTATTTATTTTTTTTTTGCTTTGCACAGAAGAGAAGAATAATAAGAATCTTCCACATGTTCGTCTTCACAAAGGTTTCCAGGAAATCTTTGCTCTAACAGCAAATACATTTTACCCAGGAGATTTCAGTAACAAAATCAGTATATACATTTGGATAAGGGGCTTCTTCTTCTAAAAAAACTGATTTGCCTAAATGACAGTGAGAGGAAATCAAAACAATCATCAAGCTGCTTGCTTCAATTTCTTCTTTTTAGGTTTGACCATCTGAGGTAGCTGTATTTTGAAGGCCGTCCTAAGAACAAACAGATTTTTAACCATTACTGTCAAGCGAACTACAAAGTAAATAAACAGATTTTACCTGGCAATACGGTAAAGTCAAAGTAACAGACTTACTCGCATGTTGTGCAAATGGGGCTGAAGTTGCAGAATACTTGGAAGCAAACGAGAGAAAAAAAATCATCACCGCAAATACAAACAACATTGTGTCTTTGAAACGCACGTGACGGCGTGCGGTACTCACTCGACAGACAAACGGAGCAGACGTAGCCGATCTCGATGAGGTTACGGTGGCAGAAACAGGCAGCTCTGTAGTCCACGTGGGCAGGCGGCGGCAGCACCAGCTGGGAGCGCTGCTCCGAGTCGGGCAGGAACACCCACTGTTCCCAGAACAAAGACATGCTGACTCTACCTTCAAGCTGCAACCACTGCAAGCCGCAGCAAACGGCAGAAACACTCACCAGCAGGTACTGAGCCAGGGCTACTTTCTGCGGTATCTTCAGGTACAAGCCTCCTGTTATGTCGCAAGCCTAAAACACAAACATCAATCCTGGTGGTACCGCTTTTTGTTTTAATATCCACTGACTGATATTTTGTCAGTCATTTATTACACCTTCACAGTTGTAATGCTATGTTAATAAGCCTGCATCAAAGATGTACCTGCTGAAGCAGCCCCGAGTCCGAGTCCAGCACACACGCATCTATCAGGATGTTCTGGCAAAAGTATAAACGGAGGTTGTTGTTTTTTTTTTTTTAATCAATTGAAAAGATACATTAGTGAAAGTCTAGAGCAGAGATTTAGTTTTACCTGCTTTTGTGCAGCAAAAATCACATTCATGAAGTTCATGTACTGGAGAGCGCAGTCATCAGCTGCTTTTATCACCTAACCAAGACGAGCAAAACAAAACGAGACGCTGATTTCACATCTTCGCCATTTTGTCCCTGTGCAGGATCGTCTATTATCAGATGGTATTTATTAACCATAACAACCAATTTAGAATTGATTCAGAACCACAATCAATAAAAACAGGGTGAAACATAGAGGTTTATGAACAAATGATGTGGGATTTTAGCTTTTTATGAGCTACATATTATTCATATAAATTAGTTTTTTTTTAGTAACTATATTTACTTATTGCGTTTCTTTTCTCTCTGTTTGAATTCTCACAGGTTACTCTGGCTTTCTGTCCAAAATCAATAGGTTGGTCACTCTAAATTGCCCACAGGTGTGTGTGTGAGTAGTTGTGTATCTCAGTGTTACCCTGTGACAGACTGGAAACCTGTCCAGCCTCTAAACTATCTGCAGCTTAATAAACGCTCCAGATAAAAAGCACCACACCCTCCGATTGCTGGATATTTCTAGTACGTTTTAATGCTACAATTACTGAGAAATATGTAACAAGCTGAAAAACTAAACTTTAAATGCATGGGTACAAAATGGCATGGGAGTACCAACAGCTGAACTGATCAGGAAAAGCAAAACCAAGTGAGGAATTAAGTAAGATCTTACCAATATCCTTGACTTCATCTCTTGTCCAACTAAAAAAAAAAAAAAGTAAAATGCAGCGTTTCTAATATAAGAAAATAGTAATAATACTACTAATAATAATAAAAAAATAGATTCAGTTTAATCTGACTTTACCTTCTAACTCTTTTGAGACCCTGTTAATATCTGCATGGTGACATTTTAAGGACAATTAGAAAAAACAGCTCACACTAATTTCTTCTGACCCAATGAGCAAATCCAAGCTGCATGTAGGGTTACTTCAGAGAAGTCAGTCATAAAACTTCATGACTGTAATGACATAGAAATAATTCACTTTTTGTTAGCTGAACCAATTTCCTGAATACTGAATTATCAAAGATGTTTCACTGAAAGGATACAGCAGAGGGCTTTGGCAAGAGATCCTGCCAACAGGGTGTCAGTTGAATTCCCCGTCACTTCAGCTGTAAGAAGAAGACACACAGCAGTCACCGGTACGTTTAATAGTGAATCATTAAATAGTTTAAAATAATATTAAACAAAAGGTTTAATATTAACCTTTTGTTAATATTAACGAAAGGTTAATATTATCCCCACCACTGTCTCCACTTTCCCAACTCTTACTGGGATACAAGAAGTGACTGGATGAAAGAGAAAAGTGATGGAAGGTATAAAACACTGCAGCATTTTAGTTCCAAACACTAAAAAACATCTATAGCAAAACAAAAAAGAAAAATAATAGTGAGTCATTAAATAGCTGAAAATAATATTAAACAAAAGGTACCAACCAACCAAATCTGAGTACCTCTTACATTGGCTTTAGTCACATGCTATAAAAACCTGTTTTTTTTTTTGTTTTTTTTACTCACTTTTAGTCATAATACTCCTGATCTCTTCAGCAATGAGGTTGTTGGCGACAGCTAGAAGTTCGTATTTTCCATCCCGGCTGGAGGAAATTTCATCCCCACCACTGTCTCCACTTTCCCAACTCTTACTGGGATACAAGAAGTGACTGGATGAAAGAGAAAAGTGATGAAAGGTATAAAACACTGCAGCATTTTAGTTCCAAACTTAAAAAAAAAAAAAAAAAAAAAAAAGAAAACTAAATTGTCACAATATAGGTTTAACGTAATTTCTGGATCAAGCGTGGCAATAAAATATTATAAAAGCAAGGCTATGTAGAAGAATAAATAGATATCCAATCCAGTAAGAACAAAAAAAACTGGAGTTACAATAATTAGGCTTTTTTTTGACAAATATTAATACAGATTTTGACTGATTCTGGTATCATTTTTGCAAAGACATTTTCATGCAAAAAATAAAAAGTTACGTAGGTCTTTAGCCTACAAAAATTGAAGGAATTACACGATTATGCTTGGGGATGGATGGAAGGAGGGACTGGCTGGAAGGACAGGGTCAAATTTCAATTACTCTGTTAATCCCAGACGGAAGGTAAACAAAGGTTTCTTATAATGTTGTGAACTGTGGTTACCTGTCTTGACAATGACTGGCGATAACGGCCAGCCTGTTTGTCCTTGTCATTGCCATATGGGAATTTCCCATCACCATGACGGCATCCAGACACTTGCACAAAGTGAACTTAAAAAATAGAAACACAGTGGATAGATACTGTTCTCAGAGACAGGCAGACATTATTTGTGTTCAAATATTAGAATTAAACATCATTTTTCATAGCTTGCTTTCTGATATAAATTACTTTATTTTTTAAAGATAAAACCTCAAATGGACAATAGAAAAAGAGAAAAGGGACTAATTCCTGGATTAGTGTTGTTTACCACTAAGCCTGGTAAACAACAGGATTACTGGTAAACTTTGAATTATGTGATGTCAAATGTATTTCTTTTGCTTTGCTCTTAACATGCCATATGCAAAGAAATAATTTACCTAATTACTACTGAGTGAGTAGAAAATATGACTGAGATATCAGAAATAAGGAAGAGGATACCTCTGGCTCACGCTGACCTTGCTGACCCCACCAGATGGGATTCACATCAACCACGATGACCAGGAGATTCAATTCATCCTCTGCAAAAAACAAAAAACAAAAAAACATGACGAATATCGACCCAATGGAAAAGAAACGACCCAGCAAAAACATAATGTTTGCCAATAAAGGACATATTATGAGCAGGACAGACCTGAAGCCATTTCGTTAAGTTTTTTGTTAGAAACCAAAGAATAGATGTTCTTCCAGCTTTATCTGCTGCTAATTTCCATCTCTGGTGAATTACAATATTAGCTGATAGCGTATAAAATGTTGCTAACGTCTTATCTAGAATAAGTTATCCAGGTTCGAGGAAAAACTACATAAAACCGCTTCCCTTCTCACAACATCCGCATCTTCTTCTACTGTCTGATAGACTGAAGAACGCGAGGCGCCCTGCTGCCACCTAGCGCCAGGAATGATTTTGCACAACAAATCGAGACATTTTGTTATGATCACCCAGCAAATAAAGTTGAGAAAAAGGTTTTAAAAATAATAATAAAAATGTAAAAGTAAAATAAATAGGGCAGAAAGTTGATGGCAGCTTAATGTTGTCTAATATAATCAAAACCATCTCTTATACAAGACTACTCTACTTTTTTATTTTTTTTCAAATTGCATAGCTTTACAGACCCGGATTCTAGACATCTGAATTCAAAATATTCACCAATTTAAATTCGAATTGCAAGTTCCAGAAATCAAAAAGACACACAAATGTAAAACAACTTCTGGATATTACATTGCTTTTTTGATACTTGGACTCACTTTGATAGAACAAGACAGTATAATGGGAATGTCCTTTATTGAAAGTGGGAAAGTCTAGGTGTACCTTCAGAAAAATTACAGGCAAATGGAAGCATGCAGATTCACAAAGCAATAAAACATTAAAAAAAATAGACATAAGAAACTGTACAGTAAGTGCAAAATTACAACATAAGAAATACCAGCAATAATTTGTTTGTGGTATAAACAAATTATCCAAACTTCTGAAAAATCAGTGGTTAAAGACAGTCATTTATGTGTTTGGAAAAATGTGCGTTAGAAAAGAAATTGTAAAACTCACAGTTATCTTTAATATTGTAAGTAATTTAAACACACAAACAGGACCCACATTTTGGGACTAAATGGCTAAATTAATCCACCTTTTAATGAGATACAGTTTATTAAAAATATAGACCTTTGCAGACATAAAAAAAAAATATATTTTCTCATTTACCAGAAAGGTTAGTCATTATTTGAATTGTGGTTATTTTTTTCTCTTTTTGCCCTCCACTAAGATAATGAAAAGACCTCCTGAGATCAAAATACAAAATGTATTTCATTGAACTTGATTTTCATACATTCACAGAAGTCCATAATGTAAACAGCTGAGAGTATTTATGATGTCTTTCAGTTCAAATATAGTTTTCCAAACACAACTTAGGTGAGTTATAAATGTTATAATGCACAAACTGAAGGAAATATTTCTGAGGTGAAAGCATGCAGTAAGCACAACAAAAAGTAGTCCAATAAAAAAATGTAGCTTATTTTTACAGAAGTAAAGACATCTTAAACAAATTAAAATTAAGGTTGTTGTGCAAAATGATCAGTTTGTACTGATACTAAATGTAAAAACTTTGTCAAAATATCATTTGTACTTCTACATTACATTTTGTGGAACAATTGTTGGCGATCTGTCGATGTTACATAGATCGACAGATGTAAGATCTGTTTTTCGTTTGAACGTGCCTCTTCTAATAAGCATGTTTATGGTTTCTGTGTTCAAGTAAATAGCTTAAAAGCAAAACCTGAGGAAGGGAAGAAAAATAAAACTGCAATATGTTAGGAAACTGTGTAAAATGTAATTTGTAAAATATCCTTGTTTGTTCTACATAATCATAAGAAATACCTTAGGATTAATAGATTGAACTTTTTAAGAAGGCATCACTGGCTTTAATTGTAATGACTCAAAGTCATTTGTTTTTATCCTGAAGCAAATTTGATTGATTTTCTGAAAGGTTTTGTTTCTCCTTTGTTTGAACCCCTGTGAAATTTAAAAGAATAATCAGATGGAAATTAAAATGAGAAAATACTGACATAACATCAGAAAAGGAGGAATCATTAAACTAGCTTTGAAACAAGTAGAGTGCTTATAAATAAAACAGAAGGTTTAATAGATGTATGTCTTGTTCTTATGTCTTGGGTTTGTGTTTCGGCAGTGCATCGAGTGAAGCAGTTCTGTATTTCTCAGTCTGATAGACATCGGACTCGATGGCCTCACTGGAGTCATTCAGGGCAACATAAACATCCCCGCTAACTTCAGTGACTTTATGAGTCCTTTGTTTGACTCCTTTGGAGCGCCACTGAATCTTCAGTGGTCTGATCGTAGGATTGTCCACAGCTTGATAAAGTCCTTCACCTTCTGCCAGGGTGATCTTGTATTGGTGCCACGGACAAACAATGCACGGCCGTCCATTGAACTCCTAATGGAGATGATTGGTACAAGTGTAAAATTGGTATTACAATAAGAACTTAGTTTTCTACAGCTAACATATAAATATACAACTAAAAAGCTGTTTCACACACAAAGAAGCTTCAACATGGTACATATTTAAATGTTGTAAAGCACAGTGCCTAGCAAAAGTATACAAAACCCTTGAGTTTATTGTCTGTGGTGTTGCTTTAAACTTTGAATACTACTGCAAGGCAGAATAAAAGCAATGGAAAACCATCCACAGCTACTATCAGGCGTGATATGTTTTACTATAAATCAGAAAAAGCCAACCTCGATATCTCCATTATGTAATAGACCACCAGCATCTGTCAAAAAGAAGAAAAAAAAGATGCTGTTATTCCATACAGTATTTCAACTGGGCATTCCCTTTAGACTATATATCAAATCACACACACAGCTCTCCTTTGCTCTGAGCTTACGGTAGCAGCGCAGGTCCATTGCATAAAGCTCCCCCTGGTGGTACACGACAAGGACATCTCTGCATCCATTCACCAGCTTCGTCACACGGCCAGCCTTAACAATATCTGCCTTCTTTCCAATGAAATGCATATCAGGAGAGAGAGCAGGGGGGTTCTCCTCTTCAGATGACATTCTGATTGTACTGCTGTATATAAAAAAATAAAAAAAACAGACACACACACACACACAATTTGTTTAACAGATCGCTCACAAACCTTAAAAGGCAAGACAGTTATAGAGTTATAAAGCGTTAATATTTGTACCAACAAGGCGATTCCCAAGTACTGGCTGAAACATTGACTTACAGAAGATGGTTAATTAGTGGATCATGCATCTGTGAGAGTCCAAGAGGTCTTTATCCTGATATTGTGATAATTATAAGTTTAAACCGTTTCTATTTTGTGAATTAGGTAAATTATCTCAATATCTGAAACAGTGAAATCAATGAAATATTTTGAACTGGAGAGTAAAGGAACTAGTACATGTTCTCTGATACTTAATCTCCTGTGCCTAACTCCAAACGATTAGTTCAGTATCATTACTAGAAGTTGGTCTATTACCAGCATGGAAGGTAAAAACTGAGCACCAAATGATCTGTACCAGGTTAGTTACTCATATATGAAGAAAATGTCAATGGGCCAAGAGTTTATCCTTGTGGAACCCCTATAAGTTTGAAGTAGTGCATTTATCTAAATTGTCTAGATAATTTACAGCTGCTTATTTGGAAAAGATAGAGGTTGACAAGAGGTTTTGTTTTTGTCGCAAAATGATCTTCACAGTACAGACTGTAGTGACACAACCAAAATCTCTCTCCTCCAATACTGTTTTTTCGTTAAAGGCCTTGGTGGGGTTAGAGCCAGTATTTACATCTATAGGAGGCTGCAGAAAGGTTCCTGGGGCAGCAAACTGGAAACAGAAGATGCACCTAAAGTTTTAAAGAACTGAAATAACGACTGGTTTCTTTTCAGGAATGGAGTGGTCAGTGGAGTACCAGGATGTTACATGGTGAGTTCTCCTTGTAGTTTGATGTTTGTTTTGGTTCATTTGAGGCAAATAGTTGTTATTTGAAATTAATTATGAAACACTTACGGTTTATTTTTTAGACAAAAATAATTAACCAACAGTTCTTTTCCACTTATGACTTTAAAAACATAGTTATTAGTAACAGCCCTCTACTTCAACAGTGAGTACCCCCTAAAATATGCCCATTTCATCCTCAGTACTACAAACATGTTGGCAACTCTTTCATGGTCTTTTGGAACAAACTTATTGATCTAAAGTAAAAAGGAAAGTAATAATTTATAATAATTTGTCACCTGATCCCTTGAGTTCTTATATTTCAAACTCATTCCTAGATCTGTGTTAATGAACATATCGATAACCTTTTTTTTTTTTTTTTTTTTTAAAGGTCTAGTACTGGAGTTAAAATGAGTGCAATGTAGTTGAGATTCAAAGAAAAAAAAAAGATCTCTACAAGCCACTGGAAGATACTTCTCAAAGCTATTTTAATACATAAATGAGCCTAGACTTTGGAAAGCAAGATCTGAAAAATACAGAGTTGCACTTTCACACTAATCTACAAAGATGTATTCACTGTTGTTATGCAACCTTGCTCTTGTTTGCCTGATATATTGAATAAATGAACCTATTGTGATTTGGCTCAGTCTCTGACTTAATAACCTTCAACTGGGTGCTGAAGGGACCAGACCATGAACTCCAGGCAGCTTCAGTTAGGACTTCAAACAAGTTACTATGCAACGATTCATATTGACGACTTATCTTACCAAAACTATGCGTAGGCAAACGTGGAACTGTGTTATCTTCACCCAGCAGGCTTACTCGAACATTTGGAGTCAACAAATAAAATGCCAGCTACCACACTCCTATGACCAGAACTGCTGCAGACGAGCCAATATTTTGGTGTTACGTTTAGTTACGTCCCCCAAGAAACAAAAACGATGTCCCGAACTGAGACACATTCCGCCTGATATTTTGGTCCTTATTTGTCATTTTATTTCTGACAATTATAAAACTCAGTAAATAAAGATTAAAAATATTTTTGAAATATTTTCAAAAATAATTTTAGCAAATTAAATATAGATTTTGTGTATATTTACATTACACTGTTGTTGTTCTATCTAATTAGGTTATCTTTTCTTGTTTTTTAGTTTTTTACAATATTTACAAATAATGCTTAATTGATTTTTATTTTCTCTACCAAATTACTATAATTAAAATATGTGTACAATAGTAAATAAAGTTTAATTTAAAAAAAATTATTTCTTAGCAATTCTATTTTTTAACATATCTTTATACAGTCAATTGGTTTATTAAAAAATAAACACAGTAGCTCTATCTGTATTGCCTACTCCCAGTTGTACAGTCAGTTGACCAGTGCTTTGAAATGGTTTGGTGTGTGGGCTTCTTAGTGGTTTAAGCCTCTGACGGATTATCGCTCAGTGTTTTGCTGATCTGGTCGTTATTCGACCAGTTGTAGCTCTGGAAAGCCTGCCTATATATTTGACAAGGTCTATTTTGACTAAGGCTGTGCTCCAGCAGGAAGAGAGGGCGCCGAACTGTTTCCGTCGTTATGGAGATTCAGTCTGTGTACGGAAATGTCAGTCAGGCTGCTACTTGGTGAAATATTAATGTCAGCTTAACGTCCCGTTCTTAGCTTTCTGTGCTACTAAAACGTCTTGGGTAAGTGTATTTTGTTTTATCTTCAATTTTTTTTTCTAGCTTTTATGAGTTTTGCAGCTACCCAAATGATAGAAAACTGTAAAATGTTGAGTGTCATTTGTAAAGTTACACGGTCAAAAATTAACAGCAATACATTATTTACCCTGTCATAAGAGAAGGAAAAAGGGGTTCATTTTCAAAGTAATATTTTCACCACGTTATTCATCCATTTATAAATGTCACAGCTTAAAACTAAATATTTAATTAGCCATATAAATATTTATCTTCAAACTAAATATTTAGGTTGGAGCAGAATTTGAAGCTACATATTTAGCTTGCTAACTGATAATTGGTTCATAAGCTAAACATTATTTAGCTTGCTAATTAATATTTAATTTGAAGATGAATATTTAGTTTGCAAACTAAAAATTTAGTTAGAAGATAAACTAAATATTGTGTTTGCTAATAATAACATTTAGGTTTCTAATTGTTTAGTTTGCTAAGTAAATATTTACCTTGCAGCTAAATATCTAGTTTGCTAACTAAATATTTAGCTGAATAACAAAATATTTAGTTAGAAGCTAAATAAATATTAATAATAATTTAGTTGTATTTAAGTTGAAAATAATTAATACCAACATTTCCCCTGACTACCATTAAAGTCAGTCCAAGTACCACCAATGGTACTTCTTGTATCACAGTTTAAGAGCCATTCTGGCAACTAAACCAGCCGCCTTAAACAAGGATATTAGGAAGTATTTTGTAGAACTTGTATAGATCCACATAAATACCACTTCTCTTAGATGTAAATCAATGCATCAGACCCTCAGCAGCAGTAACATCTCAATTGATTAACTATTTTAAAAAATTAAGTTTATAAATATTACAGTTTTTTAGGAAATGCAGCCCTCCTATGTAGTAGCACCATAAACTAAAGAAGTGTCCAGTGGGTCTGGTGACCCAATCAGAGGGCGCACTCCCTCTGAGTGTCAGATGGAGATAAGCACCACCCCCCCTGCGGTCCTTCAAGGATTAGGTTTAAAAAACGTATGGAAGGTCTAATAATGTCCAAGTGACTAATTGTAGGACACCTTATATCAGTAAGACTGGTTGCAGCCGTTAGCCAATGTACAGTAGAAGTCAACAGTTGATCAGTCTGTGTTTTCTATATTTGTCACGTTTGCCACTATGTAGAAATATGTTGCGGCTGCACTGGTGCAGGCCCCAGCTATATCCTGCACCAGTGTCAGGTTTCAGCGTCGTGCTGCAGCCCAGTGCTTTACTTTCCAGTCAACAGAACATGCTGGTAGTAATGACACCAGGAGAAACCACTGGTCATCACTTTTACTGGACAGGACAGTGTTTTATGTTGCTGCTGTTGTTGTTTCAATGCAGAATAATGCTAGCTACCCACTTTGCATTCTATTTATTTCCTAATAGACAGAAGCCAAGCTGACTTATCCACTTGTCTGACAAAGTGGAGGACCAAATAGAAAAAAAGTCAAGGGAGAAATGACAGTTTGCCTGTACAATTGTCTGTCGGCGGCTGGGCTTCAGCGTCATTATTCAAGGTAAGCAAACAGATCAGTCAAGTCCACATGTTTGCTTTGATTTTTCTTATGATACACTTATCTTTCTCTGTTGTTTTGTCTTTTAGGTTCACCTTGATGGGTGTTTACCGGGCAGCCCATCTTTCCACACTGAGCATGGAGGACTACCCCCTCCTGGGAGTTTGCTCTATGGAGGATAGAGCTCGCCTTTTCCAGCTGGTCCAACTGGTTAAAAGCCTTGATCTAAGGAGCCTTAGAAATGACGATATTGGGATTTATAATAAGTGCGATTATGAAGAAGACAATGAGCTATTTCCTTCTAATAATAGCTTCAGTCCTGATGGGTATGGAAACACCAATGGAGATGTGAGAAGGGATAAGAATGAAAGTGGAGCTGCTTCTAATGCATTCAGTGATAGACCATCATATGTTCGCAGACGGCTGGATTTCTCTTCTGAAAACACAGACCAGAAATTGTGTTCTCATTTTGAAGACACCATTTATGTCTACGCAAGTCACAACAGGAATGATGATCCAGTTCATGAAAATGGATCAGCCACACCCATTCAACTGGGGCTTCACAACAGAAAAGCTGTGGTGTGTGACCTTCGACAAAGCAAAAACAGTAAGCTAAATGAGCGTAGCTGTTCATGTGATCCTCTCAATGGACAAAGCATCCAGCTGCACGTCACACGGGAATCTTCAGTGCTCAACTCTCACATCAGATTAGTACCAAAGAGTGAGACATTCAACAAATTGAATCCTGCCCCAGCAGCAGTAACATCGGAATCACTTATTAACAAACCATCAGCACAGAAAGACAGAAAGACAATCTTCAGGAAGAAAAAGAGCCCTGCAGATGTTACCAAGCCCACGCCTATTTATGAAGCAAAAACAACAGCCGGCTACAATTATGGACTACCTCTGAGTCCTCCTCAGGCTGCAAAGTAAAGTGCTATTCAGTTCTACCCTCATTGCTATATTTCTACACAACAAGATAACAAGTACCAGTTTCACTTAGCAAGAAAGTCGATATGCAAGTATCAGTGCAAAAGTGTCCACAGCCCTTTTCACCCATTTTGTGTTTTTTTGTGAGACAGACAACACAATGCAGTGCATAATTCTAAAGTGGAAAGAAAACGATACACGATTTACAAAAATGGTAAAAATTAAATTACTTTGAGAGGAGTGACATGCATTTGTCAAATGGCCCCTGCTTAGACAGTACTTTCAACTTTTGCTGCAATTACTGCTGTCGGACCTTTTGTATATCTTTTTAGCATCTCCAGCTGAATTATTGTTGATTTTTTTTAATAGTTCAGCTTTGTCAGATTGTCTGACAACAGTTATTTTCAAATCATAGATTCTCTAATTAATACTCAGATAAAATTACACAAAAGAGAACTGTTATTGTTAATGCAACTTCTGAAGGCAATTTTATTTAAGGGTATCAGATCAAACTTGTCTGAAATCAAGTGGACTCCACTGTTTTCAGATTTTGATTTGGACTACTTGGTCTTGGTTCATTTTATAAAATCCAATTAAATTACTTTCATGTTTGCAGTCGTCAGAGGTATGAATACTTTTGCATGAACCTAAGAAACATAACGACGGTATGATTTCTGCTTTTTGTAGCAGACATGGGGAAGGACAACGGATCAGCGTGTGTGTGAGGAAACGACCTTTAACTCTTGCAGAGTGCAAAAGAGGAGAGGTAGATGTTGTGACAACTCCGAGTGGAGAGTGTATGGCAGTTGTGCACGAAAGCAAAGAAGCTGTGGATCTCACAGAGTACATATTACAGGTAGATATGCAGAAAGAGAAAAAAATCTGATTCCTTTATTTTGTAATTCTAAAAAAAAAATTAATTTTTATGCTTAATTTGTTCTGGTTCTCTGTTGTTTTGCAGCACAGGTATCATTTTGACCAGGTTTTTGGAGAGGAGTGCTCCAATGAAGAGGTCTATCTGAAAACAGCGTATCCTTTGGTACAGCACATGCTCAGTGGGTAGGTGTTTACCACTAGATTGCCATGCAAGGCATGTGCATTGTAGACCGGGGTCAATCACTACTGTGAAATGATTCTTAAAGTTTCATCATAGCTTTACCCCACTTTGACGTTGTTCTCCAGCTGTGCGGCACATAGACAAATGCAGCTCTGCCTCTCACCACAGGCTGCTGTGCACTGCTAGTCAACTGGCACAAAGAATCCACCTGCTGTTCCCCCTTATTGCTTACATGAATGACAAATTTGTGTTTTTGGAAATAATTCTGATCAAGAAAAACATGGACTGTCATGGTGTGGAAACTAAAAGTGTGTCAAACTTAAATAACAGAGAGCAAATGTTGTAGATATTACTTTAAAGACCCTTAAGTAATAACGATGTTGATTGATATTTTCAATAAAAGCAATCAGATCCGTTTCCTACTGGCTCTTGCCTACTGAGCTGTCCAGTTGATCACATTCTTCCCTCTAAATAAAACAGCATGAAGTGTTTAAGCTTCCTCTCTTTAGTGTCTTTTCTCTTTGTGTTGTGTGCATCCACAGAGGCAAGGCCACCTGCTTTGCGTATGGACAGACAGGTGCAGGAAAGACTCACACCATGCTGGGTTCATCCCCCACTGGAACTGGCTTATATGCTCTAGCCGTTCGGGACATTTTTGCTCACCTGTCTGCGACAAGCGCATCTCTACTGGTTTATGTCAGCTTCTTTGAAATCTACTGCGGCCAGCTGTACGACTTGTTGGAACACAGGAAAAGGTTATTGGTTTCAAATGTATTGCTTTTTTTTTTATCTTACGTGGTTTATCTGGTATGTGTTTTCACTGCAACATGTCTCCCCCATATTTTCTCTGCTGAACAGTTAGTTTTTCTATAATGACCAGAGTATATTACCTATCCCCCCCCCCCATTGAAGGTTATTTGCCAGGGAGGATGGAAAGAAAGTGGTTCACATTTCAGGTCTGCGGGACATCCGAGTGGATTCAGTCAGCTCACTGCTGGAGGTTTGATCCTTTCTTTCATACAATTAGTAATTTACCCAATGTGTAGTCCAGAGCAAATGGCAAACCAACCAACAAGGTATGAAACTTAAACCAAGCTTTTAAACTGAACTCAAATACTTTACATTATGAGAAAGTCTTCTTTAATTGTCAAAAGGTACAAAACAATTTAGTCTAGAGAAATAATAGATATGTGGTTACATCCTCATTGATCCAGTAGTTGTCTCCTACCTACCATTAAATTATATTTTCTTAAACTTCACTCTTTTGTCTGTAATGTTATGGTCTCTCTCTTAAGCTGCTCTCCTTTTTCTGCATTCCTGGCTGCTTTAAGGTAATTTCACAGGGAACAGCTGAGCGAACACAAGGGACAAGTGGCGTGAATCCTCTTTCCTCTCGATCCCATGCCTTGCTTCAAATTCAGCTCAGGAATCTTAATCACCAGATAGCTGGAAGGTGAGAGACTTAACCTTTCTATTTTTTTGGCATTATTCAGAATATATCTGGATTGCCACGACCTGGCAATCATTATCTGAGATTCAAAGCCAAGTGTGACTTTTTTTTTTTTTTTCAAGGTTTCAAAATTTCTCACAAAATAAGATTTTCACATTTTGTCACATAACATTTTAAAGCTTGAGCATGTTTTTTGAGGGGGATTTCATGTCATAGACCATTTATTTGTTTTATTTTAAGAATAAAAATCTGTGAAGTGTGGCATGCACTTGTGTTCCCCCTTCACTCTGACAGTCTTAAATAAAATCCAATTTCTCCTTATTGCCTTCAATAGTTACCTGATTAGCGTGAGAAAGTTGTAGAGAAGTTTAAAGCAATATCCCAAGAGTTTTACTTCTCACAGAGTGCTGTTCAATCTGCCAAGTGAAAATGGAAAACACAATTTCACATGGCTGCCAGAAGAAGATCTGGTGTTTTACCAACTTCCTGATGATTTAATTTCTTTTTTTTAATCACCTGAATTGACAATCCAATAGTTCTAATGTTTTGTGGGAAGTTGATAAAACTAATTGTTGCGTGTTTGTGTATGCGTGTGTGCAGAATATGGTTTGTGGACCTGGCAGGCAGTGAGAGAGCTTCAGATGCCAAAGAACCAAACAAGCAGAGTCGCATGGAGGGAGCTGAGATCAACCAGAGCCTGCTGGCTGTAAGAAACTTTCTCACAAACTCAGATATACTTCACCATATTTAATTATAAACAGTCATTGGGAAGAAAAAGTTGCTAAAAATTAAGTACATCTTATTATTCAGTGGCTTGTAAAATTCCCTATTGCAACTGTGTTCTGTGTAAATTTATCAGTTTCACCTTATTGGTTTTGAAATTATTTAAATAAGGCCTGAAGAACATTCTCAAAGTGATGGGTAGCAACAGTGACTCCTCTGAGATCCTTGCTGATCTCTTTCCAAATTCACGTTTCTTTTAAAACACATAAACAGAGACTACCTGCTTTTTTAAAGCTAGTAACAGTTTTGATCAGCTAATATTATACATGTAATTTCAGTACTTGGCTGCTAACTTTCTTTTTAGATCCTATGAAAGCAGCAATAGTCTATCTAATTTTTCCACAAATCTAATAGCTGCTTGCCCCCCACAGCTGAAAGAATGTATCCGTTCTCTGGACAAAGAGGAATCTCACACTCCTTTCCGACAAAGCAAACTCACTCAGGTGCTGATGTAACTTAATAATAAAAGGACAGATAATTTTATTGTGTTTCCACTTTGACCCACACATATTCTTGAGTTTGTTTTCAAACTAAACTGGTTCATTCTCATTTTAGGTTTTAAAGGACTCATTTGTTGGTGACTCGAAGACATGCATGATTGCCAACATTTCACCGGGTCACTCAGCAACAGAACACACACTCAATACTCTGAGATATGCAGATCGGTAAGAGTTTAAAGGGGAAGGAAACGGTAAATAGAGGCTAATGTTACTTGTCTCATGAGATGCTGGCACATTGCTCTGGATTATATTTATGGGTATTGGAGTAAAGGGGAAAGAGGACAGTGTCGAAGAATATGCTGCATCATCTTGCTTCCACCTTAAAATTATGTCCTATTTTATAAATCTCAGTAAAAATATTGAGGTTTATGGTTGTAACATTAGAAAATATGGAAACGTTTCAGTAGTATAAAGACTTTCATAAGGCATCGCATGTGTTCAATTTCTTACAGTGTGAAGGAGTTGAGAGGACAAAATGGGCCAATTGGAAGAAAAAGAAGCAGAAGCATAATGGCCCGGTCTGACAACAGCAACACAGGGAACAGAAGAAATGTTGGGACTTCTAAAAATCCAAAGCTAGGGAATCAGAACAAGAATTTCAGCCCACACATATCACAACCAGTTTTCTGCTCAACACCCACAAAACCTTCTTGTTTAGAGGAAACAAAATCAAGAAACAGAAAGGTCATAGAACTTGAACATATTAGCCCAATTAGAGGGTCGTTGGCACAGACTGAAGACAGGTGTTTGAGTAGAGGGCTGGAGGTCAGACGGGATGGGAGAACTGAAAATGAAACGTACAATGATATTCACAGTCACTGTGTTAAAGGGAAACATACCAGAGCAGTGGGAATGTTGGGACAACAAAACAATGGAGCTGTTAAAGGGGAAGATTTAACTTTTTCTAAAAGGGAATCTGGATTCTACCACAGGGAAAAGGAGAACTATCAGCAGACTGTGGAAGAGAGAAAGAGAGAGGAACCAGAATGGGCAGAAATGAGAAGACAGGCTGTAAGCTGTAGAGACACATGCAAGGAAGAAGAGGAGTTAAAAGAAAGAGAACTACACAAAGCTGACGAAAAAGAGAAAGTGAGGCATCTGAGAGAGTATCATCAGCAGCTGCAGCAGTTTTCACCCTCACCAATGTCTTCATGTGTCCATCCTCTCTCATCTTCGTCTTTCTCTTCCTCTACTCGGGGATCTCTGTCTTTCCTCCTGCACTCGTCTAACTTTTCATTCTCTACCCAAACCGATCCTTGTTTAGAAGAGACTTCAGATGTGCAAACCGAAACCTCTGCAAACCACACTAAGAATGTTGCTGATGACGATAAGTGTGTAAACGAGAGGAAGGTGAAGACTGAGGCAGCTGGGAGGAAGGAGGAGGAGAGGCTAGCTGGTATGAAGGGGGGACACCTGAGGGACTGCTGGATGGGAAGCACAGAAGTGGAGTCCAAGCAAATCCCAACAAAAACAGAGGCACACCTGTCTGGTTGCCTTGATTCAGAGGTCAAAAGGGATGTGGATCTGCAGAAACGGCAAACAACAGACAAAGCATGGAGCCATGAGCAGAAAGGAGTGTCTGACCACTACAGCAAAAATCTTCATCTGCAATTTAATGCACTTTCCCCAGTATGTGAAAACAGCAGCAAAATGTCTCTTTTACCTCACGTTGATATTTCTGGAGATTCTTTAAGCTGCTTTACAGATCCTCTCAGCATTTCCCAGCTTCATGTGGAGCGGCAGCGGCAGCCTGCTGGTCCACACAAAGAATTTTCCTTGTCTCCATTGGAGCCGCCCCGCTCAAAGAACGCCCAGATGAATATGTCTGCTACATATGACACTGCAACAGCAGCTGGTCACCATGAGCAAAAGAAATGCATCGCAATCACTGTCGATGGAAGAGGTAAGAGAGACCCTGCTTCCGTTTCAGTAAAAGAAAATAAATCTTAATAAATTAGAATATCATATAAAGTTCATTAGTTTCGGTGATTCATTTTAAAAAGTGAAACGCCACAGACCGGAAGATGCATTTCAATCATTTATTTCAGTTAATATGAATAATTAAAGCTTAGGCTCAGTGGAAAACCAAAGTGTGTGTTTATTTTTAAGAAAATAGGAATATTACTAAAGACTAATAAAAACTCAACTTTTTTTCACCTTACTTGCCTTATGCGACATCTCTAACACCGTCTCTGGTTTAGGTTTATATTGATGGGACGGTTGTGGTTCACGCCACAGATACAGCTATGTGTGGTGGCTTTATATTTCTTGTTCCTTCTGCAGCTTTTTGATCACTCAGCTTTCCATTCAACATGCCTGGATACAGAACTCTGTGATCAATCAGGTTCTTTTGCATTCATATTTTGTGATTTCACGTCATTGTTGAGGAAAATTATGTCAGTGACCGTCTGCTGGACATGTGTCCAGTCAGCAGCCATATTGCACCTACCATAACATTACTGTGTTGGAAATCGTTTGTTGTTGCTCCTATGTAATATTCTAATTTTCCTCCAAAAATGTAATTTATTAGATATAAGAATCATTCAAATGAATATAAATTAATGCTTGAAATTAATTACTGTGTGTAGTGAATGTATATTGTGTCAGAGTTTCACTTTTTGAATTGAATTACTGATATAAATTAACTCTTTGATATTTATTAAGAATCTGAGGTAGTCTTTTTCTTCAGGTACAGATACACCTTTCTCCATCCAAGACCAGCGGAACAAGGAGAAAAAACTATCAACTTTAGAAAAAAATGTAACTGCATCCATAATTAAGTCCCAGGCTTCATCTTTAATCAAAAGCACTGAGGATTGTAGCTCTCAGTCTACACACAATTCACTAGAATGTACACATAATATACACTCTAAAACCAACATATCTAAGCAACATTCAGAGCCTCAATATGGCTTCTTGAACTCAGCACAGGCAAATTATTACAATATCTCAAGAGTTGATGCTGAGCAGTTCAATCCTGCTGAGTTGGGTAGAGAAGAAAGCAGCAACCAGCAAATCAAACTCACAATCCATCTGTTCACCGTGGACAGATCGGACCACGCAAGGTAAGAATTATTAAATGTGACACAGTGTTTTGATTCTTGAACAAAACTACTCTAACTCAATGTGCTCCCAGGTTGCACATTATTGAGGTCCACTTGGAGCAGCTGAAAGAGATGGAAGCTATTTGTCACAAAGAGGGGGAACTTCTTTGCCAGCAGCATGATCTGGTTCGACAAAACCAACTTCATAACTGATGGCTTTCACTCTTTCTTTTTTTTTAGTGCATCCTAATTTTTGTCCTTTGGTCCAACAGGCTTTTGTGGAATTTGTCCACAAGCTGGATGAGATCCTGGAGCGGAAGGCTCAGTGTGTACACAACATGAAAGCTCATCTGAAGCCCTATCTGAAGACCAACCATCACTCCACACAAGAAGATTAGAAAAAATGAATTTTTCACACAAAAACCCCCCAGCATGCTTTAAAAATCCAGCAAGAAATTTATTCCACTATAAACTTGAATGATGAAGTTCAAGTTTAAATGTATTTAAACTAAAAATACTACGGACACAGCACAACCATGCACACACACATACCTAAAGAGATGAATTGAGAGACCAATTAATTTGATCGATTTAATTTGAATTGAATTAACCTAATAGTCATGATTCAGGACTGTGGGGAGAAGCTGGAGTACCCACATCTCCAGGCAAAGAAACCACAGGACATTGTTGCTGCAAGTCAACAGTGCTACAAACTGGGCGACCATGCAGCATGAAATTTCCTTGCTGCTAAATATTCCACAGTCAACTAGTGGTGGTATTATAACAAAGTGGAAGTGATAGGACACAACAGCAAGGCAGTTTTATTTGCATAGCCCATTTCCAGCCACAAGGCAAGTTCTTTACATTTTTAGAAGAAAAATAAAACGACAAAAAAGCAAAAAAAACTTTACCTTGCAAAGTGAGGTAAACGATGACAAGTTGAAAACAGACTACACTTTATTATGTCCCAGGTATTCTTCGATTTCAGCTTTAAACAGATTTGGGTTTTGGCCTTTGTTTAAAGGAACTCGTTGCTTCAGCATCATTGCAGTTTTCTGGAAATTTGATCCACTTTAGTGGAGCACAAAAATTAAATGTTGCTTTTTAAATGTTTGGTTCTGATTCAGGAAGGTTGATACAACGACATCAGATCTTTGTGCAGGACATCAAGACAACAGGAGGAGGAGCTTAATTGATGTATAATTTTGTTTCTTCTTTTTTTCAGCTTTTTCTTTTTTGGGGTTGAGTTTGTAGAATTGCATCATTTTCTCCAGCTGCAACCCAGCAACAGAGTGGTAGGCCTCTTGAAATCACAGAACAGGGTCTGCCAAGGCTGAGGGACATAGTGTATGGAGGTCGCCAACTTTCCGCAGGGTCAATAGCTACAGAACTCCAAACTTTAGCTGAAGAGTGTATTGAGAGCTTCACAGACTGAGTTTCCATTCCTGAGCTGCTGCAGCCAAGCCTTGCTTTACCAAGTGTAAAGTAAAGTTTCCAAGACGTCAGTGCCTGACTGAAAATTGTCAATATTTCTATAAAGACACTCCTAAGCCAAGTGGACAGCTTTCCCAGGACAGCTGAAGCTGTTATAGTGGCAAAGAGTGGGCTGACACTACATTAAACCCTGCGGATTGAGGAACTCACTCTGGTTTAGATGTGTCTGAAGGCAGTGAATAATTTTGGTAAATGTGTTTTAAAAATGTGTTCCACAAAACTTTGGCTGCTTTTTATAATGAAGTTATTTACTTTTATCTGTGGTCATGTCATCTCAGATGTTCATGAGCACGTCTTGCTACAGCTTAATATAATTTTAATTAAAATGGACATAACTCAAACATCTTCTTTGTCCAGAGCAGACCACCAAGATGGTGTTTACATTCTGCCAGTATTTGGGACATCAAGCAGAATGAAACCATGTATCAAGCCAATATGGATAATGGTATTTTCCAATATTTATTATTTATTTATTTATTTTTTACTAATGTCTTTCAAGCTTCAAGCCAAGTTGCTGACAAAGAGGTTCAGAAGTTTTTGGTAGAATATCTTTTGCAAGATGGGATGAAGATTTAATTAAAATTGTTTGTGTTTGTTTAAATATGGTGTCAGTGGTTTATATTTTAATAAGTGCTTTATATATATATATATATATTTTTTTTTTTTTGTAAATTTATATCAACTTAAAGTAATTTTTAAATAATATTTTTTGGCCTTCAGTTTAGATACAGAATCTAATTACTGTATTCATATTTGAGATCAACTTGAAAGTCTGATCTTGTTGAGTTTAACAACCTGGACATATATAGGACTTCACTTTGTCTATGGTAAATGGTATTGTATTTTTGAAAAATATTAATTTTGTTTTCTAATCATGTTTCAAGAGGAAATTTTGCAGCTAATTTTCTTTACAAAGGAAAAAAATGGGAGTCAGGAGAAGATGAAACTAAATATCAAATTTTTAAACGGCATGTCTGAGTGAACAAGTTCTAACCATGTGCATCTAGTGTCATACACCTGTGTAATCTTATGCATTTTAACGGATGTGAACATGCGTTTATTGATCCTTCACTCGAAAAGGTGATTTTTATTTATTTATTATGATATACAGAAATTTTTCTCTTAAGTTTTAATAGCTTAGATCACAGGTGTCAAACTCCAGTCCTGAAGGCCAACTGCCCTGCAACTTTCAGATGTGCCTCTGCTGCACCACACCTGAATAGAATAATTAGGCCATTAGCAAGGCTCTGCAGAACTTATCTACACAAGAAGGAGGTAATTAAGCCATTTCATTCCAGTGTTTTTGTACCTGTGACATCTAAAAACTGCAGGACAGTGGTCCTCAAGCCAGTGTGACACCCCTGGCTTGATTCTCTTAATGCTGTGCTATAATTTGTATTAAATAACGATACATTAAGATTTGGCTGAAAAGAAACCGAAGGGGCTTCATACAGGGTCTAATTTTTTCACAGAACTCGTACATTTACTGACTTTGAATAAAATATAATGAAAACCTAAATAATATCATCAAACACCTTACGCGCGAGTTGTCCTGCAACTTTGTACCACGTGACCTGGTAGATGCTTTTGATTGGTTGTAACGTTTGTTTGTGGAGCTCCGATTCCTTACGTTAAACAACGGCGCGGTGGATCACGTGACACATCTGCTGCTGCCTGCTGGCTGAGCGAAAGCGTGTTAGCAGGTAAAAGAAAGTCAGAATTGTTCAGTGAATTGTGTTTAAAATCCGTCTGAAAATTAAAAATGTTTTTTATTGTGTAATTTGGTTTCGTTTTATAGTCAGTGTTTGACGTTTTACGTGTGTAAACTCGACCTGAACTGGTTGTTCCGTGGTTTGCTAACACGCGAGGCTCTATCCAAACTGTGAACCATTGTATTGCATTTGGGAAAAAAGGCCTTTCACATGCCGGAGCTGGTAGCATTTAGCCGCTCATTACTCTTGTAGCTTCGTGGGCAACTTAAATTTCGACTGAGCCATTGCCATCCGCGGTCCCTGAAGTAAATTAAACGATATTTGGGTCCCGTAGGTACAATAATTTTAAGGAGACACGCAACTGTGTTGCTTTCGTTACAAGTGTTAGCTTGCTGCTAATGTTAGCTTTTCGCTCGGGTTTACACAAAGGGGTATGTCGTCGCTCTTGACGCGTCTGTTTGTTTCCCCCCCCCCATAACTGCCTTGGTGATTGTAAAACAAAAGCGTCGTTGTTTTATGACACGCGGACCAACCGTAAAATTACTGCGCTGATATTCTCCAAGCGAAGACTCTGGAATGGCGTAGGGACTGTTGAAAGAACAAAGGCAAGTGGCTCGCTAGGCTACAGCTATCATGAGCTCGACTGAACGTTGGTCTGTATTTTGACTTTATGTTGTATTTTTTCATTTGAGCGCTTTTCAACGTCGGATAACTTCAGTTATTTCCATGGTCGAAAGATTAAAAACAACAACAACAACAAAAAAAAAACAGTTCTTTGAATCGATTTAAAGCGGATAATACACCCACCATGTAACGTTTACGTGATTTTTGCCTTCCAACTTTCATCAGTGACTAGCCATCCCACTGTTAATTTTTGTTTATTTTTGTAACGTCATTTGAAACCCGCAATTTCCTAACATTTTCGGGATCGTATGGTCTATTAAAAGGTGTGACGTAATCCTTGTTTTTGTGCTTTCAATTTCTACTGATTTTGGCCTACATAGCAGTTCTCTGCTTTGCTTTTTTTTAAATCTATTTTCGGTTTTTTGCTGTAAAGGTTTGTAGCTCATCAAAGGGAACGATATCTATGCCCTCCGACAAGAAACACTGGTAAATACTGACGGTATTTTTGAGTGGGGAAAGGAGGGAGAGCTGTAAGATGACACCCGGACAGTCCCCTCTTGGCTGGCTAAATTTAACAGTGGATGTGGGGTGCGACAGATACGGGGGTTATAGTCTTACATGGTATATAACCGTGTGTCTCAGTCTGCCTATATCAAGTGTACAGCTCTAGTATTGCGCATTTACCCAGAGCCATTTTTTTTAAAGACACAGCTGTTCATTTCTACCTTTTCATAAAATTTCACTTCAATTATCATATTTGTACTTTCTTTCCCCTAGATTTTTTCTATTTTGTACATACATTTTTTTTTGTATATACTGTATATGATGACTTCAGTGGTCAGCAATCCAGCCCGAGGGACTCGGGACAAGACGCTGCCCACAACCACCCAAACAACACAGCCACAGAAACAGATACAGGTGAGATATTGACTGTTTCTCTTTTCTTGAAATTAAAATTGTATTTACTTCTAAAACTACATGAAAATTCACCAAACAAAATGGTTGACCAGAATCATCCAGGCTTTAGCTTGACAGGCCCCGAGTAGTGACCAGTCAGCCAGAAACTCTAATATCTGATCTTGAACGCACCCTATCTGATCGCCATCAGGTCTGCTGACAACACTTTTGTGGGTTACTGGAAAAATATTTTAGAAAGGCTATCAGGTGACACATTGAGATTCAAGAAAGTATTTAAAATCAAACTTCATTTTACATCAGTGTTTCATTCAGGCAGCAAATTTAAGCAAATAAGATGGCTGAAATACAACAGTCACATTAAAAAAAATAAAATAAATCTTTTAAGCTTGTGATTTCTGCCTGTATGTAACATGTGGAATTTGGAAATATTGACATCTTTGTTGATCTGAACTAAGGCCAAGGTCTACATTCTTCAGGAAAATCACTGATTGTTGCTTATAAGTACTAATGTATTGGCTCAAATTGCTAATACAGGATGGTAAGGATAGCTTAAAATGTGAACTTTGTAAGCATTTGGTCTTTGTTTTATGATAACAAAATCTTGTTCACTTCTGGCTCTGATATAAACTTAAAACATGTTTGTTGCAGGAAGGCTTAAAATATTTGTGATTTCTCTTATTCCATTTGTCTTTAAAGAGAAATTGAAACCGCATAAAATGTGTATTGGCAGGTCAAAG